TTCTTTAGCTGGAGACAGAGTTTAACTACATTCATTGATGTCACTTTCTCCCCTAAATGGTCACATAGTTATCTCTTTGTGGCTGACACTGAAAAATCTGAGTAGCTGCTGAGTTATACAAAGTGCAGGCTTCTTAAGGTGTCTGCTTGTAGCTGATTCCCTCTTACTCTCTTTCAAATGACAACCTTTTTAAGTGCATTTCCAGCCCGCTCTGTTAGACTTCACTGTTCACTTAGGCGGAATCCACTAAAGCTCAAGAGGTTCACAACTAGACATAGCTCTATGTGACATAATCGGTGACTTCCTAGTGCTTCTGTGACAAAGCCTAAACTCTTACAGTTCTGGGAGGCACTCACCTTAGCCAGCTTTTTCATGTTTTCAGATGCCTTTCTTCCTAAACCTGCTATTCTGACTACTCGTTTCCCTAATTACACCTCTCTCTTTGCCTGCCTGCCTGCCTCTCTCTTGGAATAATAAGAAAGGTCATTGGGAATTATAAAATAGCTTTATTTCTTTCTTATTCTACTGTGAATTCTATAAATAACATTAGATAAAATATTTAGTATTTATGATTAACTGTGAATACTCTTAGCAGGTATATTTAAGTAAATGTAAAGAATGAATATACAGAATAAATACAAGGATAGCCTCAGCCTTGCTGTATTAACTTTTTTCTGTGCAGATAAATTGAAACTATTAGATTAAATACCCAAAATTGTTAATGTTCAGGTGTTTGTTTTACTACAAAAAGAAGATTTTGTGTGTGCTCTAGGTTACTCTCTGAGAGCTGTGTTCATGAAGTCCGGTTGAACAATTAACAGAGAACTTTTGTATTGAGCCGGGAGCTGAGTTCTAAGTTTTTGCTGCTTCCCAGCCCACATTTCATATGTTATCAGAATCACTCCTCGGAGTACATCATCCTTGTGGATATCAAATCCACGAGGTTTAATGCATGAGATTTAAACTCAGGACGATCCTTTGCCATAGCTGTGTCTCAAAGCAAGCATTTTGAACAATTATTTTGGACCGGTAATTTTTACCAGTTGAAAGATCCACTTGGATCAGATGTTGAAAATTAGAAACAAAGCTGTGAGAACCCAGGACCCTTCAGGGGGATGTCGGAGCAAGGAGGAAATGGAGTGCAAAAGCGCTTGTGCGGTGCTTCCTGGAGTTTTTTTCCCAGGTTTTCCTGGAAGAGGCTCCCAGTGCCTGCTGCCTCTGTGTTCTGTCTGAGTGCAGCAGAGAGGGGCGGTACCAGGCCACAAGGGTGCCTGTCTCCTGTCCTCTCCCTTGTCGCTCTCCCAGTATTCTCACATGGAACCCTAATAGAACAAAGCTTTCAAGCAAGCAGGGAGATCTGTAAAGGCTTCATAAAGCTAACGAAGCTTGCTCAGCATCGTGGTATATGGCTCAGGTTTGTATTTTTAAAAATTAAGGAAAAGAGGCTTAGGGGCCGGGGATTCAGCTCAGTGGTTCTACCGCCTGCCTCACAAGTGCAAGGACCAGAGTTCGATCCCGGTACCAAAAAGAAAAAAAAA